TGGCCTATCCCTCCATACCGGATCAGCTGGAATGGGGTGTACTCCTGAGACAAGGACCCATTAGGTCTGTAGACATGGCAGGCTGTTGAGTAGGAAATACACAAACCCCCTTAGTATGATCCCCCTCAGAACGCTGCATGTAAAGAGCACAAATACACATCTGGTGAGACACTGTAGAGGACAAGGAGAAGGGGAGTTACGTTCCATTATCTGCTTTGTGTCTAGTCTCTTGCTTTTCTTGATCTGTATGTGCGGGTTGGGAGCTCCCCGAGACCCACTTTTTAAAACCTGGTATTTCAATTGGATGAAAGCATTTTGTATTGGGGTTTTTAATAACAGTTGTTATAGAAGGAGCAATTAAATATTTTGTTTTGATACCATTAAATGTCGGATTACTGATCTTTTTGTTAAATAAAATGTTGATGACTTATTACTGCTCATGTTTCTTTTTTTTCTTTCCCCCCCCCCCCCATTTTGGGAGCTTGAGAGGAAGCAGGACCCCTTGGTGCAGCACTCTCCTCCTGCACACCGCAGGCTAAACCTGAGTATGGGCAATACAGCTATTAGTCTTCAGGAAAAATGCTTTAAACTAGGATTACAAGGAACAACGTTTCATTCCTCAGGTTAGTGAAAGCAATCTCCCTGGGTGTTGTATCTGAGGTTTGGTGCTCTCCCTGTGCAGCCTGTTCCAATGCCTGAGCACCCTTTGGGGAAGTAATTGTTCCTCATCTCCAGTCTAAACGTCTGCAGCTTGAGGCCGTTTCCTCTTGTCCCATCCCTTGTTCCTTGGGAGCAGAGAGCAGTCCTCTCCTGGCTCCATCCTCCTGCCAGGCAGTTGTAGAGAGCGGTAAGATCCCCTCAGTCTTCCCCCCCTGAGCCTTTTCTTCTCCAGACTAAACCCCCCGGTCCCTCAGCCGTTCCCCATCACAGCTGTGCTCCAGGCCCTGCACCAACTCTGTTGACCTTCTCTGGCGCTGCTCCAGCACCTCAGTAACTCTTGATGATAACTCTTGTCAGGTCATTAACAGCCGTATGAAAATGGGTGTTCAGGGAAGGAGAGACTCCAGCAATCAGCTGCTGCTCCTGTAACAGAGCAGCCTGGTTCCCAGCCTGGGCACCTGATTCCTATTAAGTAGCCAGCTGATGAAAGGGAACTGCCCATAGGCAAAGGTTGGTTGTAGGGTTATTAGAGGCTTACTAGGAAGGGGACATGGGTGTGCACCCAGAGAAATTCAGGTATTTATATTCTTTCTGTGTGTTTTCCTTGTCCTAACTGGACAGAGATGCTTTCTGGTATGTAACTGATTATAAGGAAACTGTAAGCCTGTAGAGGTCCCCAATACTTGATCTTGGACATGTGCTACAGACAGAACAGATACTGTGAGTAGAGTCAAAAAACTTGTAAATTCACTTAACTTTGCTGCTTATTCCTTGCTTTAAACTTTAAATAAGGCTCTTTTGGCTCCAAGAGAATGATCTGGGAAATGTATGATACCTTTCTTTCGAAGTTGACTCATAAGTTAAATATACTTTCAATGTTGCAAAACGTTTCTGATTAGAAACTTGACTTAGACATTTTGTGAATAATATCTCTTTCCCAGAACTAAATGCAGAATCTGGTTAGCAATTAGAGGGACTGGACTTCCTGGAGGAGCTGCAGTGATGATGCTGTTTGTAGTTAATTTTGCTTATGATTTTGGAAGGCAGTGTGAATTGAATGTATCAGTTCTTATTTCTAGCCAACAGACATGTAACAGAAAGATGGGATTTAGAAAAAGTGGAGGATATCTGAAAATGCATCTTATGTTTTCCACTGGTTACCATATAATCAAGAGTTATGGTTGGCAGTGGGATGAGGAAAGGATGTTGATAAACTGTACAGTACTATGTAGGTTTTTTAAACTGGACTTCCTGACTCAGGTTGGTTGTGTTGGTGCCTGTTCTCTCAAAAAAGCTGCACGTATGCTATCTCAAGAAGTAAATTATTTTGTGTACAGATCCCCTTTGAACAGGAAATGGGCTCTGTCAGATGACTGAAATATGGCTCAGTTGCTCCTGTGTCCTAGAAAAGGTTTGCTGTCCTGGCAGACCCCTGATGCAGAGTCTGAGACTGACAGGATTTAATGGCTGAAGGTGAAAACCCTGCAGGAGGTCTGAGCTTTCCTAGTGGGAGGGTGAGAATCCTTTTTTTTTTCAGTGATTGTCGGTGTGGACTGTTGTTTGGAGACTGACCATTCATTGTCCAAAATCTTCCTTACATAATGCATGGGACATGGTTGGTTGATCTGAAATCTTCTATCAAGGCAAGGAGTTTTAAGTATCCCTGTAGACGGGAAACCATCAAGTGATCCCTTCTGATACGCTTGGGTTCTGGGCAGGCTGAATAGTCATTTCAGTAGCTCTGATTAAGATGCAGTTGGAGATCTGCTTGGGTAACTGCTTTTAAAGATGCTGCCCAATGCTTTTCCATGTTGGACTGTCTGTGCTATTGTGTATAGTTTGGTTGGTTTTGTTTTTCTTTCCCCCCAGTTATGGGTGGGTTGTACAATGAGATCCTCATCATGCTGAAGGAGTGATGGCTTGGGATGGGTGAGCCTGAGAAAGAATCCTGGCAGGAGGACCAATGAGTTTACGTGAAATCCTGAGGCAGGCTGGATGAGAACACGGGACAGTCCTACCCACCAGAGACCAGTCTCACACCTTCTCACTGATCATCTGGGGAGTCAGGGAACTCTGTTATGCTTGTAGCCAGAATGATCTTGTGCCAGACAGTGTGTTACTGCCAGATCTTGTGCTGTGGAGCTGTGGCTATCAGCTACTTCTCACATTCTCTACATTTTAACTGTTATCTGTATTCCAAAGGTAACCCGCCTGTAAATGGAAAACTTTGTCCCAGTGTAGACTGTGGGGGTAATGCGTGGTAATTAGCCCCTTGCAAGCAGAGACTGGTTAAGTAAGCAGTGCATCCTGGCTCTGTGGTGTTTGTCAGAAGGCCTTTGCCTTTTGGACTTCTATTTGGCAGCTCTGACAAAAAAGCCAGCATGACTGCTTGTTTAAAACCCAGAACCACCAACTCTCCCCCTGCTAAAACCTTGACGTTAGCTCAGCTAACAAGTTTCGTAGGTGCCTGTAACCCAAAATGTAGATTGCTAAAGGCAGAAGATGACTATGCAGAAGGCTGCTCCTTCCTTCCCTTCCTGTTTTGCAGTACAACCATCCAGACCCTCCTTGGATGGTCGTATTGTGACTTGCTCCTGTCAGTCACACGTCAGCTGCAGCACTTGGTTCTATGTGTTTGTGTGTACCAGTGATCAGCAGCTCTCTCGGTGCCACTGACTCAGCAGCTCTCACTGCTTTCAAGCTCTCCCTGTTCTGGCTTTGGCTGACAGGCTCTTGGCAGGTCAGGGCTGAGGCAGCTGCTGCTGTGGTCTTCTGTCACTGGCATGACCAGGGAGTTTCCAGCTCTTCAGTGTGCTGCTGCCCGAGTCATGGCTCTAAAGGGAAGGCAGCCAGGACATTGTCCTCGCCTTGGTTGTATTACAGTTCAAGTGGTTTTCTCCAGAAATGGATTGCTTCTAAAGTCCCACTTGTGGGGATCTGGCTGCCCCTGTGCCAGGAGTAAGGAATTACATGACCGTAGGTTGCATACAAGGACATCACCTCTCAAGCAATCCCTGCCTGTGACGATGCATGCCTCTGCCATGCATTTGGAATACGTGGATAGTTAAATTTCAGTTCACTGCAGAGGCTGCAGCCAGAGGTGGGGTAAGGAAACTACCTCCATCTTGCCTCCTTGGAAAAGTTCCAGTGGCTGTAACAGATGTCAGTCTGTTGATTGGGACTGAATGTGACTGGTGCTACCATGTCAGAGTTTAGATAACAGACCACAAGTTGGACAGAAAGAGGCTGTTTAGTGAGAGGTCTATTACTTGGTGGTGGGAGAGTATGCTCATCTAGGCTCTCTTGTATATGTATTCCTCAAGGAATGGAAGATGGCACAGATCCTGCTGTGTATAAAAAAAGCAAAGGGGAACAATGACCGTACTGCATATTAGGGAAGTTACATGACTGCCTCTATATTATTAATGAATAGAGCTAATACAGCCAAGACCTCTTTAGGACCAGGGTCACAATACCACCTTTAACTTCTGCAACAGATCAGAGTAAGCTTCTGAAGCTGTGGCTATATTAAGCTGTATCATTCTGTACATGATGCGGGGAGGTACAGTCATGTGTTCAGTACAGGGGAAACACTTCCTGAGGGAATATTTTACGAGGGTGATGAAACACTGGCACAAGTTGCCCAAAGAGGTGGTGGATACCCCATCCCTGGTATTGTTCAAGGCCAGGCTTCTTGTGGTTCTGTGCAACCTGACTTAGTTGAAGATGTCCCTGCTCAATATGGGGGGTTGGAGTAGGTGATCTTTAAAGTCTTTTTCAACCTGAACTGTTCTGTGATTCTGTGAAGATTCAGTAGGTGTTTAAACAGAGAGGACCTGCAGAACAAAACTGGAAGAGCTAGATGTTGTATTGATGCTTGTGCTTACAACTTCCAGGGAGTAGAAATACGACCCAAAGCCAATCTGAGAGGTGTTTCTTAAGTGCCTTTGAGGCATGGGGCTGGTAGCAAGAAAACTCAATTTTGCACATGGTTAAGTCAGCTCTTAAATCCAAGATTAGGATCTAGCTTTGTTTGGATTTTCTGTGCCTGTGGCAACTCACTGAGAATTCCAACAGAAATTCCTTTAGACGATCCATGCTAGCTTTGACATGAAGCAGCAGGCTACAAGTGGAGTAGTACACAGAAGATCTGAAAAGGGGCTGAGGTTATGACTGGACTCTCAGCTTGTGAAACTGTTGTTACAAAGATGGAGAATCACTATCTCAGATACACTAACTTCAAACATTCTTCCCATTCCACAGAGGATAAAGAGATAGTAAGGATACAGAATATTTTGTACTGATACAAAAATCTGTTAAGAAGAAACACTTTGCCTGAATTGGGTGAATAAAGCATTTTTACTGATGAAAAATATATGTAGAAAAGACTTGTGTGAAAGTCTGCAGCATATGAGTAAGATCTTTCAAAGTGCAGCTGAGACCGAAATCTCTTCTTTGAAAGAAGAAAACACAAATGTGCACGCTGCTCAGTCACAGAACGTTCACATTTTCAATGGTACAAAATAGCCACAGTTTCTAAAATGCTCCTCTGAAATGCCTGATTAAAAGACATTGAACCATATTATCCCATCAGGAACGCTTTATCACATCTATAAATCCAATTTAAATCTAGTTATAACAGGAGTGTGAGACAACAAAGAACACCACAAGAGCAGTAAAAGGAGCTTCTAGTTGACGATGGATGCCATATGTATTTCAAAATACCAAAATAAAGATAAAAGTTTTAAATTAAATAGTTCTGTAAATGAGTGATCTAAGACAGCACCAATGTGCTGCTCTTCTGTCCAGTTGCCTCCTGGAAGGAATGGAGTGACTTGAGACTGCAGTTTACAGGATTTTCTGTAGGATGGAGTTGGCAACTTCCAGGGATTCATCTTTCACCAAGACAATATCGTAAGAGTCCATATATTTTTCCAAAAGCTCATCTACCTAATTGCAGAAAGGATAAAGATCTGCTTAGTTGTACATTTAATTATATATGAAGAGGTTTTGTCTTTAAAATATTGCCCAGTCATCCCACCAAATTCAGGAAATAAGCCATGCAAACATGTATCGCTCCTATGAGTGAATTCCATGGGGGGACAGAGGAGGAGTGGCCTGACATAAGTGTGCATGCATTCCAGGATACAGGACCTCATGTTTATTCCAGGAGCTCACACATAAAGATACCTAAAGGAAAAGCTACTTCCTCAGCTTCCTGAAAGGCTGCTCTCTCCTGAATGCAAACAGAAGTGCATGACAACAAAACATGTTGTCATGCCAACATGTGCTTTGATACCTGAAGCTTAGTATAATGGAGCTGTTTCTAACTCATACTGTTTCACTCAGTGTTTACAAGGGTAGATTAGGCTACTTACTTTATCGTTGAGATAGCCGATCTTAAGGATGTGTTCAACGTTTGCTACTCCATCTGCCATACTCAAGTCCCCTTGAGAATCACCCAGCAGTATGATGTTGCTGTTGTCTTTTAGTTGTTTGAAGTACTCTGTATTCTTCAAGGCACCATCATGTTTGTTGTAAACATGAATCAATTCTCCTTTAAATCCTTTTAATACCCCCTATTTAAAAAACCCAACAAAACACTGAAGTTATTTCTAGTGTCATACAGATAAGGCAGAATCTAGGAGTAAAGAGGTGGTATTACTGTTGAACTAACAGCGAACTATGTAATATCTAAGGAGGAAGAAGATAAATTACTGTTAAATAATGTAATCACTGCAATAGCATTGTTAAAACTGGACAGACAGCGATTCTCCCTGCCTGGAGGAAGAGAGGTGCTGTACTGGGCTGAGTGTGAGGTTGTCATTCAAGGGAATGAATGGTATCTTAGTCACACCATGCTAACAGTGTTTGAACTGTTATCCTCTGCTTCTATTTTGCCTGGGAGAGTCCTGAGTATGCAATTCTGATCTTCTGTGGCTACACCTTTGCATTAAAATATCTTGTAGTGTGTGTGTATGTATCTATATATAGCTACTAAATACAACAATCAGTCATGTTTGGTAAGAATGTGTTATTTCATACATACATTTTCATCAAAATCCATGAAATTGGAAACCACTTTGACATTAGGATGGTAGACCCCAGCTTGGTGGATAACTTCCTCAAGAATGTCCCCAATCCCAGCAGAAAATATGAACACAGGAATATTATGTTCACTGAGCTTATCAAAGAAGTTCTCATATCCTTCTCTGCAACACAGAACATAAATACAAATCAGATCTCCAATAACAAAAGGCAAGAGAAGTCCAAGTTTTCAGAAGACATTCACATCATCTTTGGAAAACAGAATGAATTTTCCCTGAGCACTCACTTCTTTTACCTCATCTTTTTGGGTCAGCAAGAACCATCAACCTAACATAAGGCATATAGTTTTAGCAAGAAACTGCTGCATCAAGCTGCCTGGTCTTGGTCTGTAGAGTTTTATTTTCCCCAGAATATCTATTAAAGAATTAAAACCAATGTCCCCTTCCCAAACACCCCAGCACAAGCAAAACGACTAGTAGAACTCTCTAGCAGAAGTCTGTGCATCTCCTTTCCATCTTCCTTGCTTAAGTTTTGACTTTCTATAGGGTTATTGCCATAAAGCACATCTTGTTTTGCTTTTAAATCCTGAAAATATTTATTGTGGCTCTTTTCTGAAAGTTTCTACTTTTCAGTACCCTATCAAAGCTATATATACTATACCAGGAGCAAGGGAATGTCAGCTACATACGCTTTTTCCACACAGACACTGATGGGCAGAATTTCACATTTAAAAGAGACCATGTGCTTGTCTGTTTTGTGGAAGATAGGAATTTATCAGTGTGATAAACAAACACTTCCACAAGTGAAGTTCTAACATCCTGTCTCAGTCATCCAAAATTTACCAACAAGTTTGGAGAACTTTAAAAGATATAGTAGCCCCATCACATTTCAAGGAGGGATTTTGCTGGCTTTTAAACTTGCCTTTAGCCATAGAGGAAGAAGAATACTTAATATAACATATGAAACGTATTTTGCTGCATTTTTATCCTAGATAAAACTGTTTTAGGGGATATTTTTCAAAGCAACAAAGTTCATCTCTGCATTAGCTTTTAAAAAAGTGCCACCAGTGCAATTTCAAGAAGATGAGTCTACAGAAATGAAGCTTGTAGGGATGGAACTATAAAAAGCCCACAAACCCCAGTTTCAGATCTCTAGCTTACATTGTGCGATCACTGCAGGCATTTAGCTGCAACATACCAATGAACTGTGAGAATGAAGAGCTTGTTGTGTTCCAAGATTAAGGTGTTGTGTTCTCAGGAATATTGTTTGGTGTTTGCTTTCTCTCCTCCGCCCCTAACACCCAGTAAGAATCTACAGAAAATGTTCCAAACCAGTATCACTTAATCAAAAGGAACTTACTTCAGCATAACATCAGATTCCTTCACAACTTCTGCAAACTTATCCTTTTGTAAGCCTTGTTCAATGAGAAGTGCATGAGATTTATTGTACCTAGAATAGAAACAAAAATCGGTTGAAACTGACTTAAGATTCACCCTTCATTAAATCCTATGATGAAAAGCATCATGTATGGTTAATTCTTGCTCATTCAAGTTAGCAGCAAAGCAAAACCAGCTGTTGCACAACTCTTGAAGAGATTAATTCAGTTCATGCATTAACTAAAGTTAATTACTGCTATTAATTTCCTTTTAAAAACTTACTAAATTGAATCTTAGTTCAAGTTCAAGATGCGAGATGTCTCTTACCATTCTACCATATACGGATATTTTTCTTCAATAGTGAGAGCTGGATCAATTTCAATGGCATAATAGGTTTCTTTCAGCTGCAATAACTGAAGGGAAAAAACATTGGATATTTCAGAAAGATACATTAAGCAACTTTTGGTATTTATCTAACCATTCTGATTACATTATTTAGATACAATGGAATCTGAAATGCTTTTTGAACAAGGCGATAGCTTGTAAATATAAGAATTAAAAAGCGGATGCTGTTAAAATCAACTATGTGCTACTATCAAGAATACAGATATTTCCATTCACTTCTTAGTGGTGGGATTTCTTTCAATCTCACTCAATTTCATGAGTGAAGAAAGCTCAGGGTTTTAAAGACTGGATCCCTTTTCTTGTGGCCCTATGTAATTCAACATACAGCACAGATAGTGTTGTCTATACCAGTTGTCTGCACAACAAACCAACAGCTAGTAAGTTTTCCATTTACCTTTTTCCGACAATCTTCTGTGATGAGCTTAGAGTTATCAATGATGTCTGGGGGGGGGGGGTGGAAAAAAAGAAGTGTTAAACAAGATGGTGTATTTCCTTTGCTTTGCTCTACAACAGTGTAAATGGCACAGATGGCAATGTTTGATGACATACCACTATGTTTCCTCAGAACTTTCCTTACCCACAACCAGTAAAAGGCACATTTCATAAGCATGAAGATGTCCTTCCCCTCATCTCTGAATTAAAAGGTCAATTACAAGCTCTCTTATCTGTTTCTTGAGATTTAACTTTCTGAAATCATCATGAGCCCTCCAATGTGTTTTAGGATTCCCACTTCTTTAGTAAATGGATTCTCTTTGTTCTAAAAGGCTACAGGATAAAAATGTCAAGAATTATGACAAGTTTACTATCTGGATCTTGCAGGCCTCAGGAATATTACCAGCTCTTAAGTTGACCCTACCATATTGAGCCACTAGCACATTATAGTTCAGAAATTAATGCTTTAGCTGTGAATGACAACTGATCTCAATTAACACAGATTGGTATTAAAATGTATATGCATAAAACCACATATAGGCAGTCACTAGGATACTTCTTCATTAGGACGTACAGGTTACATAACAAGTCAGTATAAAATCTCACGTATTAGGAAATAAATTGGATAGAAAATTAAAATGTAGGAAAAACTAAAAGGAGTGAACAAACCAATCTCCATTAAACAAAAAAAAAAAAGTACTCACTATGGCAAGTTGGACATCTTTTTCCATTGTAGGAAAATCTACTTAATGTCATATCAAAATCTGTAATAATCTATTTAAGGAAAGAAAAAGCAAAACTGTCTTACAACATGGAGGGACAAAATAAAGAATGGCTAGAAATTCTGCATGATCAACAATACCTGCAGCTCAGTAGCATGTGTCACAGAAATTCCCTATTCTACTGAACTGCTGTAATGCAAACTACTATAGCCCATGAGAGTAACTTCTTCTTTCTAACACAACTGTTTTTCTAATTCCTTTGGTTAAAATATTTCCTGAAATTATGTGTTTATCTCATTTACTTAACTAGTGTCTGGCTGAATTACACTTGAATCAACAACAACAACAAAGAGTTACCATTTAAATTTGGGAGATCTCTTGAAGGCTGACTTCTGTTTTTTTTTTTTTAGATATATATATATTTATATTCTTCAAACTTTCTGGCATAGAGCACCAATAGCATGATTGCTTTCATTCTGAAATGGTTACACCTTCTACTGTCTTTACCTGAAGTTTGGCAGCTCCACCTTTGATGAGGCCACAGATAATCTCCTCTACTCTCCCTGGGTCCTTAATATGGACAGTCTTCTTCTGAAACTCTGGCATCTATGAAGAATAAGAACAAAGACAGAAATCCACTTTACAGAGGAAACCTTACTAGGTAATACCTGCTATCTATCAGCTTGGAAGCTCTGTATCGATTAACAATTTTATGTGAATTGCACGGGACAGGAACACAAGAGCAAGAAGAAACAGAAAACACCTGAGATGTATGAACTGATGATTGCATACAGTTCTGCTTGCTTTCAACATCTGTTTTAATTTCCTTTCCTAATATCAAATTATTCAATAAGCTGACACTTGCAGAAAAATATAACTGTATTTGTAGGGAATAAGTGATATATATAGAAAGAAGATGTATGGGATCATCCTGTGGGTCAAGTATGTCAATCGGAGATGGTGAACTTTAAAACTAGCTCTTTGTGCGGTTAATATGCCCTTAAAGTTTCAACACAGATAGACACTGCTTGTGTTGTTGGGAATGCTGCATGTGTCAACTGAGTGTTCCAGTACAACAAGGCCGAATAGTAATCCCTGCTCCCGAGCTGGTCCATCAACCATTTTCCATAATCCCTTTGAAGAGTATTTCCCAAATACTATGAGAAATGCTGAATTAGGAAATAAAGGAAAAAAACACAAACCTCCTACTCCTCCGTAAACCTCCCTCCCCACACCCCAAGCCTTTACTCACTCTAAAAGTTTATCTTCAACCTTGCAGAAATGGTGAAAGAACTACTTACTGACAGAAATTTCCCAATTTACCCTGTATTTCCTACCTTTATAATCATGTATGGACTCTTCCTACCGCAGAGGCATTAGACATTTGCAATCTGTCTACACGGGCATTTCTGATTAGTACAGTTTATTTTCTGTATCTATAACTTCAGAGATGATGAAGTGCTAGGAATTTCATTTCTCTCATCCTGACTGTTCAGCTTTCCCTATCTCATACCTAGCACATAATCTTTTCTGCAGTGAGCCAACTGAAAAAGGAAGAGGCAGCTTGTTTCCAGACATACTTCTGGAAGCAGAATTCTCCTATCACCAATTGTTACTAAGTCACACAACACTCTTTTGTCCTGCTTTCAATACAACTAAGCCTTTAACAACTGCCTTGCAGTCAAACCGCAATTAGGTTATAACTTAAGAAAAAGATGACGTTCTAAAGTCTTGCAAACACTTGTTTTTATAATGGAAAAGATACTTGTGTGTCAGGGAAAAGGAGGAGTTGGAGGTACCTTTAAGTATCTGCTCTAGTCCACTCTGCCCTCAGGGAAGAGTAAACTATTACAGCTACATAGCTCTTAGCAGATACTTGTCTAACCCATTCTTCAGAAACTACTCACATGTTCCTTACTTTTCTCAACCATCTATTCTAGTGCTCAATTATGTTCAGAAAAGTTCGGTTAATCTCTATGTACCCTTCCATACTATAATTTTAGGCCATTAAACTTGGAGGAAAGTATTCTTTTTCACAAGTGCTTGCTGGAAATTTTCCCCCTTCTTCCTGCACTAAAGAACCCCAGTTCCTTCAATCTTCTTTTGCAGAGCACAGTTTTCTAAAACTCTGACAACTCTTGATGTTGTCCCAGCCCATCCATTTGAACCGTTCTTGAAACACAGCATCCCTAACTATGGGCACAGTCTTTCTGCTGCACTCTGAAAAGGCCTGATGTGAAGGGCTTCTTTAGACTGTGTCTTTACGTAGTAAGTTTGCATTCACATTTGAATCTGTTTACTTTGTTAGCACTAATATAGTGACAGTTATTCAAATTCAGTTGGTAATGACCACATATTCTTCAAAATTACTCCTAGGCAGAAACAGGTAGTTACACAAAGTGCTCTATTTTATATTTAGTCTTGCTGGATTGTACCTTTCATCCACATCACCTCCAATTTTTCCATATAAGAAGTAATTCTAATCCCCAGTATGGTTGTTGCTACTTTCTGGCTGATACCCTTGAAGACACTAATGAAAACAGGAAATAAAAATCCTTCCAAAAACTTAAATCTTGAGTCTCCGATTATTTCCAAGGTTTTCCACCCATCCAAAATACCTATACCAGAATACCTTGCCAAAAATTCTAAAGTCTTGACAGGGTATTTACTACTTCTTTGCTTTATAAATCTCAGAAAGAAACAAATCAGCTACATCCCACCTGGGAGTCATTGAGAAAGTTATAGAGTGCTAACAAAAAATAAAATCCCTGGAAAATATCCATGAGAGAATTCCCTAATCTTTTTAGAAATGCAGTTACAAAGCATTTTTAGATATTTGTTCACAATTATCAACACATGTAGCTTCACAAAATGAAATATTAACAGCTCTTCACAGATGTTTCATGGTATTTCTTTTGTATGTCATACAGTGCTGGTAAACAAAAGTAACCTTACAACCGGTTTGGTGAGTATACACCATTTTTTCTCTATAATGGAATATGAAGCAATTTCTTTTGTAACATTTTCACTGTAAATTGGCTCATCTAATTCATTTGACTTTCAAGAGGCAAATGATACATGTATTTTTAGACTTGGCATGCAAAAATTAAAATGGAATCTAAATGCATGTTTTTCTAAGAAGTAGTTCAAATGTTAGGTGGTTTACTTAAGATTCTAAGCAACAGACTTCCTAATATAACTGATTTAAACAGAACAGATGTTGGGGGAGATGGAGAGATCAGAGGGAGAAGCTGTCTGAGGAAAGTTGGATTGTTTGCTACTGTTTGATTTCAGACATGCCTTTTGTAAGTTTCTGAAAAAACTTGAGGAAAAAACCTCCTTAGTAAGCACTTTAGTAGATGGTGTTAAAGAACACATTACTTAAGATTGTAAGTCTGATGAAAGCTTCCTGCTCTGATGTTGTAAACTGATACTCCTACTCAAGATCAGCTTTTAAGATACATTTCTAATACATCTTCCATTTTTACATAAGAATTGAAGTCAGTTGAAGAGGATTTTACTTAAAGGGTGAAAAGCACCAGTCTTCTCCAGGAAGTATAACTGAGGCAATTTCAGTCTCACAGGCACTTTCACAGGCAAAACCACATCTTCATTATAGGTACAGCATCTGATAAAGCCTCAGACAAATATGGTTAGTTGAAATAGCCATTGTCCTATCACTAGCTCTTTGTATCTGTAACTGCACATTAACTAGTTCTTTTATTTAGGCTTTATCATTAGAAGTAAATGAAACTGTCAAATAAGCAGTCACCAGTTTTCTGGCAAATTGGCTTCTTCAATACCAGGCTCCCAGAATAGCTCTTGTCTTTTTCTTGCATATTTGCCATTTGTGAAGAGTTGGAAAAGACAAGCAGATTCAAGTTGGAAAGAACTGATAAACAGATGAAAGAACAAAGAGTGAAAGAATGTAAATAAGAACATTTCAGTCAATTTGCTAAAATTTGCGTTTCTATTAATTGGTTAAGAAAGCTCTAAGAGTCAACTCAGTATACACAAAAGGCCCCAAATTCTGATGCTGGGGAAGAACACATATGGAGAAACACCTGAAAAAAAATCTCCACAGCACCTAACAAAGGCAAGAAAGCTTTTCAGAGCAAAGAGCTTCTATACTGAGAACTAAAACTACGTAACTACAGGAAAAGAAATTCCACATTTTGTTGTTTTGAAAGTATATCCTATTGAATTATTTAAGTTTCCCTATCTATTCCAAGTGTGAGAAGAGTTTTGCTTTCTTACCAAAGATATCTATATGTTACTGAACTAGCTCAGGGACCAGTATCTCTTTTAAAACACATGTTAAGATGACAACTCCCAAAGGTAATTTGTAGTTGGCTTCTATGCTGGCCAGAAATACATTTAAGTTTCCAGCCTCTGACATTTTTAAGGAGCCTTCAAAGAGAAGCAAGGAGAACAAAACTGAACAAGATTATTTTAAAGGTTGATCTTAACTGAATTTATGAAAAGGAAAAACAAAGATCTGCTTGTTTGTGATTGCAGGTAATTGGAATAAGGATGTAGGAAATTGTTTTGTAGCTAATGATGTTAAGAGTCATACCTTGATGAATGAACCGTAATGGATTCACGCAGGTTTGGAAATCCCCCAGACCTACAAACCATAGAATGGGTCATTTACAACAAGGATAGTTCTGGAAATTACAAGTCCATTTAGTACCTGAGACATACATCTGGATTAAATAAAGAGAAGTATTTACTGTAAAGACCCTGTTGAATTCTAGTTTTGAAATAGTTTCCTATATACAATTGGATAGCAGGAATGGAACTAGGTGATCTTTAAGGCTTCTTCCAACCTAAACTGTTCTATGATTGCAAACAAAGCTGCTTTTGTGTTCTAGCTGGGTGCTGTTTTCTTAGTATTTGAGACAGATTATATCTAAGTGCATGCTCCATCAGTTCAATTACAAAAAAAGTTGGTGATGATCACTAAAATGAAAGGCAGGTATCCAAGTGAATTCACAGCTGCCAGAGCAAGCACTTCCAATTGGGTATCCTAGGGAATTAGTAACTGATTGTGTACACCAGGTGAAGTGTCATATTCTGGAGTTAAGATTACACTGAACTTTTTAATCTACCAAGTGCTGGAGACAGAGCAGTTACTTCCCCTACCCAGTAAAACAACGTTAAGTCCCTATAATTTAAAATAACAAACAAGTTCAATAAAAAAGGAAATTTCCTATAAAGGATGATCGTGGGACCTTCTTTTGTTTTCACTAACCATAGTTTTAAGTTGGGGAGGACGAGCTGATGAATGACTTGCTATCTTAACTACATGGAGATATGGCTCATTTCATAATCAAATCTTGATACACAGCCTGAAATAGTACTCATGATAACTACAAATGTAAGATCTTATCATCAAAACTCTAAGTAACGCTTTGACTGAGGATGTGAAAAAAGTGGGGCAAGTATTTTTATTCTGATACCTGTAAGCCTACATTACTTGACAAAGTTGGGTTTTATTTTAAAAAGACCAGTACGGATCCTAAAAATTACTGCTAAGAAAACACCCTGCATTGTGGCTGAGTAAGTAAATCTCAATTATCACAGTTTCTTTTTTCCTCCTTTCCTGGTAAAGCTGCATAGACTAGACTATGTTCCAAACCTATTATCTTTTGACACAGGACACACAAGGGTGGGCTGGCAGGGGGAGGAAACTATCAATGTAATTTCCAAACAACAAAATTGCAAATCAAAGTGATTAAATGGATAGGATTCAATTATTTGTAAATTCTATTTCTAGTCTATGGTGATAGCTTCCAAGTAAAAGAGTACAAACCAAGAATAAATGGCATTTACTTTGGGAACTACAGATGCCCGATTCCGAGGTCCCAGACTAGCTATCACATATACTTACTTATGGACATGTACCAAAAAGGACAGCATCAGTGATAGCTTTGAAATCTGATACCTTGGCAAGCTACAGAAAATTGGTTTCAGTGCTCTTGGTGTCAGAAACTAACAGTTTTGTGAAACTGTACTAAAAAGGGCACATTCCTTAATTTACATCTTACTTTCCACTCTCTTTTTGCTATTTTACACCAGAGCATTACTTTCACCTACTTCACAAAGCAAAGCTTACAAAAAAGCGTTTCAAAAGCATACAAGCTTTTTCATGTAACTTCCTCTATCTGCAATGTACGAGCTGCAAGAAGCAGGGAAGCTGTAACAAAACCACAGAATGGGTGGGAGTGGGTGTGTATCTTTTCCTCCACCTCTGTGTGCTCATATATAGCTACCAGTGCTCTTGCAAGTATAAAGCAAGATTGGCTTTGAATTCGGACAATTTGAATTGTGGTCCATGAGTGCAATAAAGGTTTCTCTTTGCAGCCCCAGCTGTGAGTAGCTTTCAGACAGGAACATTAAAAGCTACTGGATGTCAGCATGGTTGCATCAGACACAACATTAGGTGCTGCTAGTCAGCAGACCTGCACTAGTGATCATGCAATCTGCTAGCATAACCTGAGCTCAGGACAGATAGATATTCATTTGTAATTACAAAAACATAGTAAGTTTTCTATTTGTATGATGTAAACTCAAATACGGTAGTAAGAAATCCTTAGTAACTAGTATTACTAATCACTCTTTTGGTAGTTTTGCCAAGAAATAGCCTCAGGACTACTTATCTGAAAAGTAAACAGGCAAATGTTATTTTGGAAATGAAAAACACAGAACACCGAATATCTTCACAGTTGCTTGATAACATGCTGCAAAACTAGACACCCAGCACAGGTTCTATGAAATAACTGGAAGTGGCTTCACTACCTAAGCTATTTTAAGAAATGGAATAGGATGCGTACTAAAAATGTTTTTTTTTCCTGTTTTGTTTCATTACTTACATGCTTTTTACACTTAATGTGCTGGATTTGGATACTGTTTGGTTTTTTTTTTTTTCCCAAACTAAAACATACAGAAAAATCTGAAGAGAGAGCTTTCACAGAAAACATGACGAGCATTTCCTCTTGTGCTTTTAAAGGAGAATACCTGTGCGTTGAGCTTAGGGCACTCCTGATTCTTCTGTCCTTGATTTTGTCCTACTGCAACAGCATAGGTGGCAAGCAGAGTCCAGAGACGCAGGGCTTGCATGCAGGCTGCCAACAAAAACCAACCAAATCCTTTTAAGAATTGGTCTGCTATATTATGTGATCTTTGCTATTCCTGTTGTATAGAAACAAATGCAGACATGCATGGTACAGAGCTATGTCCCTCTGAAAATACCCACACTTACATGGCTGCTCTAATACGTATTTAAAAGCAGAGCTGAATTCATCTACTTAATACAAACTGGTAGATATATTTACTCTTTCAGTGCTGCTGCCAATTCTTTGGTATCAAATTTTTATATAAAAAATAGAGCTTGTCACAATAAATAAACAACTGTAAATAATGCTGCAGCTCCTAATCTTGGCTTAAAAACGCAGGCAGAAGACAGCGCTGTTGACAGAAGCTGTGCACACTTACCAGAGGGTTTTGCAGGAGCAGCTGCCAGAAGCAAAAGAAAATTCCTCTTGCTTGAGAAGCACTAATATAGCAGCACAGGGTGCAGTTGAGGGCGTTTCCAAATACAGCCTGACTAATCCCCGTGCAAAACCCCAGGGTCCTGTGACGCACATCAGCAGCGCACAGCAGTTTGTTGTGCTCAGCAGTACAGACTGCAGGGCTTACAGCCCATCAGCTGCTGTACCAACAACAGAACATTTGACCTGCGCTGAATGAGCAGCCTTCGTGGAGGCAGCAGGCGAGTTGGGGCTGCTCTAACAGAGGAAGACACTTGTTTTTCAAAGCAGTTTGCTACTTAATTACTTTTTAACCCTTTCACAAGATCTCTCCAAGTGTTTTAGGATTTCCTGTTGCAGAGCGCCACAAGTTCCTCACAGCAGCTTGACATGGTCTCATGAACGCGTAGGAGGGAGCACAGATTTATTTGTGTAGAAGCAGCAAATTAATGACTTAATTAATCTTTGCTTTGACTGTAATTATCTATGTGATACTGAAACAGGAAATCAAGGAGGCTTGTTTGTCAGGATTTTTGAGAGACAAGGTGCCACAACATGCTTTCAGAAGTTTGTCATTTGCCTTATCAAATACAGTAACTAGGTACCACAGAAGATGCATGTAAAAGGAATCTCTATTTTGCTGTCAAGAGTATGAAGGAAATATTGTCTAATCATATTCACACTTTGAAGTTGTGTAAACACTTGGAAGTGTAACACGAAGTTAACTCTTACTACAGCAACAGCGCGAGCTTCCCTATACTACCCTGTCAGTAATGTTCAGCCTCAGGTTTATGATCACTAGTTCAGGCCAATTCATATGTGGTCATGAATTTGACCCATGCAATCGTTAAGAACTGAAGCAAGGGCAGGTTAGAAATGTAGCATGTACAAAACCCTTAGAGCTACATCCCACCCCTCCCAACCCCATTACAGGACACTAGAAATTCATTGGTGATACAAATTCCTGTGCTTTTTTTCTACATTAAAAAATACAATCAATAGACTTTTACTAAATGGATCCATATGTTTTGTGTCCACATTCCAATTGTAGGCCAGTGTGTACTCTATCAGAACCCCTGTTTTGACCCAACGAAACAACTACTGCTGATAGAAAGCATGCACATTTCATCAACACTTATCCTCTTAGAATTGAATAAGATCCCCTGAAATGTACATGTATAGGTCTGCTGTATTCTGAAGCAGCAAAACAGTTTAAAAAGTGTGTTAAAAAAAAGACATAATCCCTGCAAAGACTATATATAGTAAATTGAACACACCTGGCATTGGTATTTGCCAGGATTTACAGTCCTATTAATCTACTTGTTACAGCACGTGTCTACTGTTGTAATAGGTAACATACAGAGAATGCTACCTTTTATAGTATTTTCATATAGTTAGCATGCTTTTGGCTAATAGTATCGCCATAATAATGTTTGAGAAAGATCTGTATAATACATGATCTTGAATAAATATGAATTACTTGCATTACAAAAAGCTGTAGCTTATGCCAGTGTTGGATTTCCAATTTAAAAAAAATCTTATGAACAATGAAGTAAAATATGCTTGCTAGATGAATCATGGAGTTTAGGTAAAGACATCACTTGATACATCCAATTTCCAGAGTACCTGCCTTTGAGATTTTATATATATATATATTTATCAGCGGTGACAGTGGTACTGCTATAAACAAGTCTTGTGAACCTCCCAGGTGAGACTGGGACATGGTGGATGTTGGAGCTGGCCTGTTGATATTCTGATACTTCTATGGTGTGATTCAGTGAGAAAAGAAACGCAAATGATATCAAGGAATTTAAAGGAAATGAGCTTGCTTTTGATGAAAGCTGGGGAAACAAATAAAAAAAGTGTGGTTTTGTTGTTTTTAAAAAAAATTGTATCCAATTTAAGGCTGAAGAAAAGAATTGCAGCAATAAAGTCCAACTTTTACAGACTAATTTTTGGTATACCAGCCTAATTAGAAAGCCTTTTAAACGAATTACTACAGTGTTAGTGAGAGCCAGAAAATGACGTGAGCAACATTTCTGTAAACATGAATACAGCCAACACCTAATTCTTAGAAAAATATCTTCCTGTTTTTCAACGAGTATAATTACTTTCGCTTTAAATGAAAACATGGTATATGAAACTCCTCATTTACAAAACAAGGAAGGCTGTCTTTACAACTCTTAAGAACCCTGTGTGTCAAACACTTTAATGACAACCGCTACTACTGACCATGTTCTGTTACTGCTGATTGAGTCAGTCCAGCATTTTGTTTACAGTGTTTAACTTTTGGTAAGAGATGAATTAAAATCACTTCTTTGTTGAAAGAGAGAGAAACCAAGTCCAGCTGGCATTTCTACTCTCATGATACCAAAGGTCATTTAAATATATTTTAAGAACCATGAACTAAAAATGTATAGCTATTGCAACAGATAGGTTCTATTTTAACCCTCTCTCTTTGGCTGAGGGCCATACCTCGACTGCAGAAGATTCTATGGAGGAAAAGGGGGGAGGGGATACAGAACAACACTTAGAACATTAAATGAGTTGTTATTGATATAAAACTAGGAAAATGTTCAAATTTATATGGTGGTGTGTTGGGTGAACTTGGTTTGCAGATTCAGGATGCTCTCAAAGAGTATGAGGCACTGGAAATTTTAGTCTGAAGCAAATAAAAACTGGTTCTGCTGGTCCTTATGCACCTCTGCCCTGTCTATTTGTGAAAAGAAATTAACATAGCAAAAGTAAGTTACATAAGCAAGTAAGCTAAAGTTCTGTTGTTTTAAGTAGTAAGTTGAATACTTTGACTAAATTGCCATCAGCTTTAAAGATCAAGAAAGGTCACATTTAAGTTATTTCTATTTATTGGAATATTTGTTACAAAAATTAGAAGTGACTGAATCCTGTCTACAGCATTCATTAGTAAACATTAGCTAGTGGCTTTTCATGAGCTTACTACTTTTTATTCTTGTTTAGTGAGCCTACTATAACTGAACAACTTTGAACACAGCCATTTCTTTAGCATATTGCCCAATTTTACTTGAGCAATGCTTCATTTTATTGCAGGGATCAATTTTTAAACTTCCCGTTTTTAAACTTCATGTATTTGTTTTCTAATTTTGCTTTTGTAGCAAGTTTACTTAGTCTGTATTTTCCAAACCAGACTACTTGATATAACCTCCACAAGATAGGGAAAGCTAACCGAACCTTAGCACTCAAGTATCAAAACCAAGCAGAAGAAAGGAACCAACATAAGTCTAATTCAAACATGATTTTTATTCATGTCACAGCAAACCGAGTTAATGATCAGCATCCTGGCTCCGGGAATAACTTTTTCTATTTGTGACCATTACAAGGAAAAGAACATTAATGTTCAGGTTGAGGAAACTGGAGTAAACAGAAGTTTAGAAGGCTGCCTTGCAGGAATACTGGATATCACTTATTTTTCCAGTACAGATCTGGCGTTGTTCTAGCCATATTTACAGCTGGTATGATGCAATACAGAAATGTTTGTTTATGAAGATGTGTGTGCATTATGGAGATGACTCATGAGGAATGTAAGAGATTGTTTATACATGAAGAGCTTGAACAGCACTTGCTATGGGGAAGTGCTAAGAATGTATTAAAGACTGAATTAATTAAACTGTAATGAATCCAGAGAAGACGCATGCTAAGAATGTGAGGTCTTAACCTGACCTATTTTAAGGAGCAGCAGTACCACTGTAGCTGAGAATTTATTTTGCCTACTCAACTATTGTATTTTGAAGAGGCAGAAAAACAAGTGCATGCTCAAAACCAAATAGAGGAAGGAAATGCCGTATCACAAAACATAATTAGAAAGTTTATTTGATGTTAGATCTGATCAGAGATAAATCTTTCTTTACAATACAAGAGAGAACTTGTGTTCTTCTAGAGTCTGACTGTTTATGGCTGTACTGAACACATGGTGTTACCAGTGATAACACATGCACTAAAATGTGTAACAAACAGATAACTATTTATTCTTGCTGTGTTTAATACACCAGTAACTATGATGTTCAGTTTGAAACATGCAGGAAGCTGTGACTTGCAAAATTCTATATAGAATTGTTCAGATGAGAAAGTAAAAGATACTGCAGCATCACTGTCCCGTATGCACCTTCCTCTTGTGCTTACAAAGCCATTCTAAAAGCAGAGGTTTCCTCTGGGAGGTATATCAACAGGGGTTTTGAATCTTAACAGGAAAGCAGGAATGAAGGCAAGCCAAACACACTGCTGACTTGGTATACTGAAGTTCAGGTAACAGAGTAAGGGCAAAAGGTTTTGATGGACTTACACGTTAATCAAAGATACTTCTCAAACACAGAGGTATTGTTAGACATTACAAAACTCAGAAACAACTGCAAGAAATGTGGCAATAGAAATCAACACAATATTTAAAATCCTCCATACTACTGACATAGAGGTTTATGAAGAACTGACAGTAATTAAGGCCTGAATTTCCAGTATTTCATGTTTTCTCCTCCTGTCAGTTACTACTTCAGGCAAAAATTTAGTCTGAGAGTATATATGGAGTACAAGCCACACAGAACCAGATCCAAAGGTTCTGGGAATGA